CCGACATATCGGGAGGGCTCTAGACAGATGGGCCAAGAGAGCCAAGATTCTTAGGTTCAGGCTGTTTTAATGAGGGGATTAAGAATTAAGACTGACTAAATCTTGGGTTTCTGAGTAAGATTTATGGGTTTTGTGGGAAAGGGAGATGAGAGTATATTTCAAAAGTCAGGACTGGGGCACCAGGGTCTTGGCTTTGGCCCCTGGCTCACACACTTAGAAACTAAAAATTTTTTTTTCACAAATTTTGGTTTATTTTTCTTGCTTAACCATGCCAAATGATAGAAGATTTTAGCCAAACTGTGTTTTGTTAGATTTTTTGGTCCCATTTTCTTGACTACTGTGATAATGGATTGAGAGGGCAAGATTGGTTGGCCTGCTTGCTTGCCTGCAACTCGACCGAGCCCGCGATTTGATGTATCAGAAGCATTCTTGACAAATTGCCTCTGATTCCATAGCAGCATTTCATGTTGGATTTAGGAGTTTTTGTTTGGTTCACCCCAGTCAACCATATTAATATTAGAATCTGGACAGAAGATTTCGTAATAAAAACATACATAATAAAGGACTAAATTCTAATATCTTAGTGGGATTGGGGGTGCATATCCTTATCATACTTGCATTAGAAAATTATTATTTTAGCTAAATGTTTTAGGAACATTTTGATCAAAGCCAATCATAATATTGTCTTTTCTTTGATAGAACTTGGAAGAATTTCAGGTTACAAAATTGTACTTAGAGCCTGAAAAAGAAATTAGTCAATGGAGGGGCTGAAAGCTTCACTTAAGGCACTTATGGCCCAGATCTAGCTAAGTACTTAACAAAACAACAAAAATTAACATGAAATTGTACTTAAGAGTGATTACCAGTTTCTTAATTCTGGCAGATATTCTCTTAAACTCAAAACCATGTAATGCTACAAAATGTCAGCTTCAGAACTTTTGAATACCAAATTTGGAACTAAGTCCAGGTGCAGGCCCTGTCCAAATTCAACCAAGAAGTGCTTGGAATCTGAAAACACATGAGAGGTCCCCATAGCAGCATTCAACATGACCGAAACTTTACTGAAATCTAATGAAAATTTTCAGGAAGTCAGAGAAGGCATGGCTTGAGCCGAAACTCACTGAAGATTTGACAAAAATTGAAGAGTATGATTCTTGGTTCTCAAAGCATTTAAGGGAACATCTAACACGCCCAAAAAACCAACTAAAATCGAATTAAAATGAAAACCTCTACGAAGACATGCTTCACCCTGTGTTCACTGAAATTTTCCCGAAATTTAGGACCATGCACTGTTCTTGGTTCTTAAAACCTAAGAGCTCCTATTCACAGGCCCAGGTAGAACGACCAAAACTAAGTGAAAATAAATATAATGAAATTTCATGAAAAAGACCACCCCCTAAAAATAGAAAAGAAAAAAGAGTAATTTAAAGTCGTTGAAATGTTTTCTCAGAGCCGAAATTGACTGAAATTTTGCCGAAATTTGAGTAGGTGGTTTCTTGGATGGTGATGTAGGGGACCAGCCAACTGGACAAGCTTTGTGGGTCCGGGACAGGGCACATGAGTCTGAACCCACCTGCACCCATTAACTCACCACACGAGGGTTCGAAGTTTCTCGGATTCGGGACCATAAAAACTACTTTTGTTCCCTTCTCTCCTTAATTTAAAAACATTAAATAATTGTCATGTGCATCTATTCCCATTTAAAATTCCAAAATTTCGGCTGATTTCTTCCCGAAATTCAAAGTTTCACATTTTGTGGTTTAGTTTTTCTTTGTTCTTTTGATAATAGGCCGAGGATAATGGAAGAGTGATATCAAATCTCTCTCTCTCCCTTATTGTTCTTTGATAGTATTTAAATTTTGAGGAATAGTGATATCAAATCTCTCTGTCTTATCGTTGTTTGATAGCATTTAAATTTTGAAATGGAGAACAGTGTTGGTTTTTCGCACATGGGAGCACATTATCTCACATGCTTTCTACCTTTAATAAAGTGGATAGAAAAATGCATGATTTTGCTCATAACAGTGAAAAGTTTGGGAAGGATGTCACCTTTGTAGGGTGCAGATCATATTCCAACTAATCCAAATATGAGCAAAAACCTCCACGTCTCATCTCTACACTGCTCATTTGAGAGAGAGAGTAAAAAGGCATCCACTGTTATAGAGAAGAGAGAGAGAACTATCCTAGAGAATACACATTCTAGATCTTAGAGAATAGAGAGATCCTTACAATCCTAGAGAGAGACACTTAAAAAAGTCTTTACTATCCTAAAGAATCAAATTTCAAGAAGTAAAATTGTTTCATGCGTGATGGGGACTGTATTTCTATAATATGCAGTCTCAATGTATTTCTATAATATGTATAAAGCATCTATTTTAAAAAAAGACGGAAATAGGTGGTCGATCTAAGAGCAATTGAAACTAACCGTCCAAATTTTTTTTCCATAAAATCATTATTTTTATTTATTAAAATTTATTTATCTATCTTATATACCTGATTTCTTAAAAATTGGGTCCGAAAATCCATCTCAAAAATAAATCTTTAAGGATCCGTTTGGGTATCTAAAAATGTATTACATAACCATCGATTACGATGAAATATTACATTTCCAACGTTTTCGGCACACTTTATAGTAAAAATATGACATTTCCAATGTTTGGGTACAATTTATAGTAAAAATATCACATTTCGTTTGGCTACACTTTATAGTAAAGAAATAGAAAGAGATTACTTGTGATTTTCCAAAAAAAAAAAAAACATGAAACACATTACCTTTTGGAACACCTCTGACAGAGGAACAAAGAGTCAATTTTGAAGGAACTTATTGTCAGCCTCTTTCAGATCTGAATCTATTTGATTTAGAAGGGAAGAACTTGCATCAATATCTCAGTTTCAATTCAAACATGGGTTTGACTCACACTCCATGTTTTGAGAAATATTTACCATTCGGAAAGAGGAAAAAATGGAATCTTTGTCTAAATAAATGCGTTGAGAAACAGCAGATGTATAGAACCTTTCAACGAGATAATGCTTTTTCAAATATATCAAAATGGAATATGTTCTAAACATATATGCCATAGTTCTTTAACAAAGATTCGAATGATTAGACGGCTTCTTAAAAATTCCTTTCATTTCTTCCATAAGGATATCGAGGCTCAAAAGTTCAAGAAACTTCTTGACTTGCTGCTAGGTCCATGCTTTTTTTCTGAGTTGAGCAATCCAATCTCTTTATTGTTTCATTTCGATAGTGTCTAGTACTGTATTTTTCTTTTTTTTCTGGGTTGCTAACTCAACGGTAGAGGTGAAAAATCTATGACGCCTAGACACATAATTTTTTAGAAATCTTTCACTTTCTATGCCCTATCTGCCCTATCCCAACTTAATAAAATGCTCTCCCCCTCTCTATCTCATCTCTCTTTAACCCTAATAACTGGTTTGTGTGCTCTCCCTCTCTCTTTAACCCTAAGAACTGGTTTGCATGCTCCCCATCTCTCTTTAACCCTAATAACTGGTTTGCGTGCTCCCCCTCTCTCTTTAAACCCCTTCTTTTCATCTGTATTTTTCTTTTTCTTTTTCTTTTTTAATCATGTTCATCTTAAAGCCCCTTGATTTTTTCTTTTCCGTTAAGCTTTTTATCTCTAAGCCCCTTCCTCTCTAGACTTTTTTCTTTATAATTTTTTTAAGCCCCTTATTATGTCATGTGACTTTTTCCATTTTTCCTCTCTCTTTAGCATATATGATGAATAAGAAATTAAACAACACAATTGTAATAAAAAATTTCAACTAACATAAATTACACAACACAATTATAATAAAAAATTCCACCCAACATAATCCTCACAAGAGATTAGTAAAAACTCATACGTCTCTAGTTTCTTCCAACACCTCAAAAATTTCTACTGCAATTACCAAACCTTCTAATTTACTAATCAAACTTCTTCCCATTTTTTAACTTGTACCATAAAAATTTGGTATCATAAATTTATTGTTTATTTAAAATTATATAGATAGACATTTGAAAGACTTCTATAAAAAATAAATAAAAATGAGACTTATCACAATAAAAACATGTTATTCCAATCACATTATTCCAATGACTTGAAACCAAAGTCTAATCATGTTAGAAGACATGTGATTCTATGTAAATGCCAAAAGAATGCAAAATAAGTAAGAAATTGTGTGATGATGACTTTAGAATGATACAAATTATTATTAAAAAATATTTTTAGAATGATGAAGATGTTATTATTAGAAAAAAAAGAAAGATAGTTTATAGGTATGTACAGGTAAAATGTTGATAAATACAAATATTAGTACTGTATTTACCCAATCGCATCTAAATACTACCCCAAACACTAACAATCAATATGTAAGTAATGTATTACGTAAAAAATAACTTTTAGAAGCAATATATTTCCAGGTATTGAAACGGCCCCTAAGAGCCATTCATATCAACCTGAACTCATAGAAACCGCATCCTTACACGATAAATAGCGAAAGAAAATGAATTATCGATGTGAATCGAGGCGCCGAGCTTTGGCCAGGGAGGTGAGTTCGGGGACTGCGAGGAGAGAGAGAGGAGGGGGGGTAAGAAGTGAGATAAGTCCCTCAATAGTCACACGTGTGATGAAGATTGGAGGAGGTGGACGACAGGTGGCGTAAAACGACAAAAGAGTGAGCGTGTGGGAATTTCGCCGGCTTAAAAAGTGGGTCACATGGTGTGAGAGGGGGTGGAATGAGTGCCCTCCCTACCTCCTTCCTTCCTATAAATAACCGCCCTTTCTTCTCACTCAAACCCCATACTTATTTCTCTCTCTCTCTCTCTCTAGCTTCATTCTCTCTCTCATAAGCAACTTCTCAATCTTTCTTTCTCTCTCTCTCTAAACTACCTGCTTCTCCTTCATACTCTCTAACTTATCTCCCTCACTTCTCTCTTTCTCTCTCTAAACTATCTCCAATCTCTCTCTCTCTCTCTCTAGTGTCCCTCCCCATTGATTTCCTCTCTCTATCTCTCTAAATTACAGTCCCATAAAACCCCCCACCCTTCTCTCTCTCTCTGCGCTCACACCTAAAAAAAGGAAGACTCGTGTCACTTCCATCTGAATATGGATTTCAGTCCAGAAGCAGCCCCACCAAAAGCATCACCACCTTCTTCCAAGAGGCGACCAAGGATACCAGAATTCGCCCGGCCGGGTTCTCGTAGCACCCGAAAATCAAATTCTTCGAGAAGGTCTCTCTGTATTTCCAAGAACTCATTATCTCCAGAAGGTTGTGACATTCGTCTGAAGGTTCGACGGCTACAAACCCTTGTCCCTGGAGGCCACGCCATGGGCGCCGATCGCCTCTACTTGCAAACTGCCGATTACATTCTCTTCTTGAAGTTAAAATTGAGCATTTTGCAAGCTCTTTCCAAGTTGTACACACCTTGAGCAACCATATATCTTCATGTATTACTGCTGTGTTATTGTTTCTGTAGTTGTTGTCGATTTCTTTATTTCATTGCATTTTTAAAACGCCAAGTAATGTTTATAGGTCTTGGTGTTTATATGTAATGAATAGATTATTTCCCCTTTCTCTCTCTCTCTTTCTTTTTTTTTTTTCTTTTTTTTTAATGGGATTTTGGCTATTTAAGACAATTGGGTTTCTTTCATTTCGTTAAGCGCAGTAGAAATCTTTTTATGTGTCCACATTTGATGTAAAGAAAGTAGCATTTTTCCTTTCTTTCATCTGCTGTGATGAGAGATTTCTTTTCTATGTGACAGCTGATGCTACTCTGTAATGTTTTGTTAGAGCGTATCATGACATGTCCTGTGGTTTTTGCCCTCTCTCTGCAACTGGGTCACTCTCTCGAGTGCAATTGGGAAAGCATGACATTTTAAACATGTAGCTCAGTTTGAAGGGGACAGTGATTGCAACCATAATACAGAAAAATAATTCAGTATTTTCTTCTTCTCTAGTGCAATCTCTCTCTCTCTCTCTCTATACACGTTTTTTTGGGTGAATCTCTCTCTACACGTGCAACTGGGTCTCTCTCATTTCAAGTCTAATAGGGTCAGTCTCTGTGGCCCCTCAGCCCCATGTTCTCACCCCAGGTGCAAATCAGTCTCTCTCTCTCTGTCTTCACATGTATGCCAGGGTGCCTTTATTGCTCGCAATGTTATAATTGGTTCCAAGCCATGAAGCCAATCCATTCTGAATCTTACCCAAACTGAGATTTCATTTTAGGGCAACTGTTATACTCAAACTTGGCGTACCTACTAAACATTTGCCCTTTTTCTTTTTCTAGTCATTTACGTACGGACCTTTTTTTTTTTTTTTAATATACATATTTAATACAAGGTGAAAATTATAAAAAAAAGGTACGTCAACCTTGTGGTCTAAGAATTCTATCTTTAGACCAAATTTTAATTTTTTTTGTTTTAGTTTTTTTTTTGTTAGTAGGGAATCTAAATTAAACTTAAAACCAACAAAACAAACTTAAAAATAAAAATTGAAATTCAGTTCCAAGATCCTCTAACCAAGAGGCAATTTTGGAAAAATAAAAAAAAGGCAACCTTCTTTATAATTTGAAAAAATTTTGCGCCCTTGCATAAACCACTCATTCTTTATACTGTAATTTTACTTTCTCCTTAAACTACCTCATTTCTACAAAGATGATAGACCATAAGCACAATCCCAGTTTTTTTCCTTGGAAAACGGTTATGACCCAAGGATGCCATCCGTTTTAATATTTCTGTTACAAAT